GACTTAGGGGAAACTAACCCCCCCCCCCCGCCCTTTTTTTTTTTTGGAAAGTGAAAAAAAGAAATTTAGGTAACTGATTCTCCCAAAAATGCATCAGAGGTTTGTTTTTGGGGAGAGAAAAATTACTGTGGGACACCTCCCCCCCCCCCCAGAGTAGTGTTGTCCAGATCGCCACCTCCCGACCCCCGTTGTAACAACTCTGGATCTGCCCTGGCAGAACTCTAGCCGGCCCCTTGGTTTGGACTCCTCTGTCGAACATGTTGGACACCATGTCAGCAAGTTTTGCCTAATGATTTTTAAACATTTTCATCAAATTTTGGCTAAAGGCAGCTTCAATTGGCTAAAAAAAAATTTACTTTAGCCAATTGGCTAAACAAAAAAATATGTTAGAGTGACCCCAGGACATCTATATGTACTGTACAGTAGTGGCATATCTAAGAGTATATCAACGGGTGGGCCGATGGGGGCACAAAGGTTAAAAAGGATGGCTTGATGATACAATGAGGGGGTGCTACAATAGCTGACAGAATAATTAATTGAGCATAAATTTATCATTTTGAAAATTTGCAGTGCCTAGGGGAAGAGGGTGCAAGCTTTTTTGATGCACTTCGGCACACCTGTAAATATGCCATTGTTATACTGTACAGGTATATAGTGATATAAATAAAGAAAATGGATGGGAATAGATTTCTTGGAGTTGTGAGCGTTAATACAAAAACAAATAATTTCAGAAATTTCCATTAATTTATGATGTTACTATCGGCCAGTAAGGAGTAATTAAAATCATGCAAGGGGGAGGAAGGTGGGTGGGTTTGAGAAACAATATAAAAAAACCTGCCCGCCTTTTATAAAACAATCAGGGCAGAAATTATAAATTATGGACCTACTATACTTGAGAGGGATGAATGGAAGTGGATCAAATACAGGATTTAGCAAATATGGGAATAATGATTACTGTACATACAGTACTGTACAGTACAGCAAGAGATAATGTACGGCGAAGGTTTTGAAGATGGTGTAGGCCTACTGAGAGATTTGAAAACAAATTGAATTGACAGGAATTGAAGTGAGAGAGAAAGAACTGTTCACTATCATGTCATGGAAGATGTTTAAAAGATTATGGATTTCATTACCACTACCAAAGAGGTTATAAATTTACCACTCTCTGTCTGTCTGTTTAGCAAGATTACGCAAAAACTAAGGAATAGATCATTATAAAATTTAATGGAAAGGTACACTACATACACTAATAATGAGATGTTCATTTTTTTGGGGAAAAAGTCAAAGGACTTACTGTACCCTCAAACATAAAAAAAAAAATAAAGCAATCGCCCATACACAACCTACATATTGTTCACCAATCAGGCACAAGGCGCAGATGCACTCTTTGAAATGACTGTTTCATTATATGATTTGGCTTTAAGAATATATACTGTAGACAAGTATAAAATTTTGACAATGAGCAAAATAGTGAATATTGCACTTGTACAGGTAAAGTGACAGCATTTCCTACTTTAAAACAATAGCATTAGTGAGCCTACTCAGTCACAAGCATTTCTGTTTGCCTACAGTACTGTATGTTCAATAAGTGGGCAAATTATATTCATTGAAACAGCTTGCTCATAATCATCGTACTCAAGAATATCGGTCAAGAAGCTTATTAGCACCTACAGGTACATTTGAAGATAAATGAATTAAAGACGCTTGCAACAACCATAAACCTCTTAATTATATTAAACATCCTTCAAAATTAGCGATTATGTCTGGGATTTTGTTCAACCTTGTTCAAGATTAAGCTCAAAGTAAAATGTATTGTATTAAATTCATATGTGTTAAACCAATAATTAATGTAATTTTGGGTCCACAGGTACTTGCCATTGATTGCACAATATTGTATTGCACTTCACCAGATTATTCACTTTGTTGCTGTGGTTGTTCGCTTCCTGCAACTATTGGAACAGTTTCTACTTTTTGTGGAACGAAAGAATGTGCAGCCAATCAGATATCAGATAAAGATTATTGCGCCATTGAGGTACACGCTGACCTGGTAAAGAGGAAACATTAGGCACTTTCAGACGAGTTAGAAGCAACCTTCGAAGTACGAAGCTGTTTACTGTACAGTACTTCCCATAAGCCTGGTGCTTTTTGTATTAAGTTAGGTACTTCAACGTTAGGCATTCTGCATGCGATTTACTGTACTTTTGAGTAGTCGCAGGAGTAGGCCTACTGTAAATGAGTACACAAGGAATGTAAGGAGTACAGTATGCGCTCACAGTAGCGACATGCAGATGAACTTATAGAATCTCAGAACTCGCAAGTAAATATAGTACATCCTTTATTATGACCTCGATTTCTTTCAAAGGATAATATAACATACCTACAAATGAGAGATAAAATACCATTTCCCATGATGTGTTAACCTTTGTAGACATGAT